GGCATCATTTTGACCGGGAACGTAAAAATATACCAGGACAAGCAGGAAATTTCCAACGCTTATTAATACACTGGACGGTGCTTATCTACATCTCAGTTTCAACCCTCAAAATACGTTCATCTCTATGGGAGACATGCACTGGCTTTGGAGCAATTCCGCAAACAATAAATCCCTGTGCAATTTTCATTCATCTGTTACCATTCGTATTATTAGACAATGAAAGACTTTCGACACACAGAGGTGTTAAGTGACTTCCCGATAGTGGAAAGGACGAATTGGCAACCGATCAAGAGATCTGCTTTGATTGTTTTGCTTATCGCGTGGACTGAATATAAATGCTCTAACATTTCCCTCATGCTACCCAGTAAATGAGTTCCTACCCCACTAAATTGAGATTTGCCTGTTTACCACGAAGACTATATGGAGCTTTACAGTTTGGTGATTTTACGCGAATAACATGAAGTGCCACCACATCACGCTTGACTACGAGCTTGATCTCCACGTCTAAGTTAAGGATTTTTCAATCAATGTTCCTTTAAGATATGGTTAGATAATGATATAGATTAGTTAGCAAACCATCGACAAATCTATGTACCTCGGCTACTTAATACTTGGGTGTTGAACAATAGCCTCATCTAGAAATCATTCTCGGTGCAGATAATAGTGGCAACTTTACCATGTAATTGGTATTTCTTTAATTAAATTTATCTATCTAACGAAGGTAAGGAAACAAGTTGCTTTCAACTTACCTTGCCATTTTGTGTCCTTATCTCATAAAAAGTTGTCAATTCACTTCAAATTTCCCTGTTTGCCCGAACAGACAATGCGTTTGCAGATATTTTATCACCAAGCCATATTAGAGCGTCTCGAAAGTTTCTCTCTGGACTGAAGTTGACCGCTCTACTGAGAATGAAATCTCTACACATCACTGACCTTACAGGGCCGGTCGGAGAAAATGAACGGATCTGATAGAACTATTTCCCGTTAGAATCCGGGCAAATTTCGGTAGCTTCAGGTTAAAAGAACAATGAAATCCTTGCACACACCTCAATCAGCTAACCCCGAATGACCGTTAGCTTATTGACTGACGTAAAGCTTGACCAGAATCCGTAACTCTTTCAAGGTGACTGAGATATTTTTTTCAACCTCCGGTTTTCAAGTGAGTTAATAAGAAGAACAACGTTTGCTCCAAAAAGAGTCACTTTTACCGTACCATACCATACTTCTCGCTTTTACACATACTGCAAGAGGGAGTTTGTTACCTTTTTTGATGACTATTTGCACAGATTCATTCATTCACTGAGCAAGATGTAGTATCTGTTGGACTGCTCATATGTAAAATAGCTGTGCCGTTAAATTTGTTATATCTTGAACAAAAAACGTTCAGTTGTTATTTCCTAATATTTTTTGCGCATTTCACTACAGCATTTCATAGTTCGCCGACGATATTCGAGAAATATTATTTAAGATTCAGTGTCATAAGGAAAAATCTCGAATACATTCTTTTGTTTCTCAAGTTACCAGTCAAGATTACTAATCTCAATGACTAAAGATTCTTATTATCGCCTCTGATGTAAAACCATTCCCTTTTGGGGATAAGTTAGCTTCCAATAATAAACCAAAACGACCCAAAGTTTCATAATTGAAGTAAATGTTAGTCTGGCTCAAGTGGAAATCAGATCCAAATGAGAATAATGTCTCACCGTGGGGTACACTCGGAACTGCTGCCTCATTTTCACTGGGCTTCAAATCGGTTGCCAGAAGAGTTGATGGTCCATTAATTAAGACATTACCTACAGTCAAAAAAGAAAAAGGATACCATTATTTCTATGACCACGATGATGCCAATGGAATTGGATGCAAACCGATAAAGTTAAAATTAAAAAGATTGTACAACAAAGAAGTACACAAGTGAATTGTCTAAGGAGATGATGCCAAGTAACAAACAACTTTAGGATGGAATTCTAAGATGTATATTGATCACCATATGTTTCAATAAAGCACCACAAGAAGAAAAAATGAACCAACTAAAAGGGAATCTAGCATCAAGCTGGTAACGGTCATTCTCTTAGAAAATGAGCCCGTCAAAATTTCTGTCAGCCGCACATTGTCTAAGTGGGTTTAGCACCAAGTTGGAATCGTATATTTACCAAAGAACAGCATGCACTCAATCTGTGACGATTGACGCAAGTATGTATTGCTACAGATTAAACAATCTGTACAGAAAAGGAGCTGGAACTACCGCAAAATCGGTCTCACTGTGCACCTTTGTCTGAGAGAAGCAGGTCGACAATCTGACAACCTACTTTGTCAATCACAATGGCAGAAAATTGGTTTAGTCAGTTTAAGCAAAGCGGGATTGTCATATCTTTGAGTCTCCTCATTCAAACTAAAAGTATGCATAATTTCTAATGTGGAACGGGAATTGGGTGAACTAGTTGAAATGCCTCCCATTTCTAGGTAGTACTTCTTCAGTGTTACTCAATGTGTGAAATGTTTGTTTTCCGAAATGTAATGCATTTGTGAGTTTTCTTAATGAAAAGAATCTCAAGGATGAACGGATTCATAAGTCTCACTCACTGATGAAGGTATTAGCGTCTTGTTATCACTCAACTATAGTTTATAAGGAGAATGGTTTTGCATTTTTGGTTTACAAACATTTTAGCAGCTTTCATTTTACAATAAATATATCCACGTATAGGTATGTTTATTTATATTTCCTCACGTTAGAAGTTGAGTTAGGTATTTTGTATTTCAGAAAAGCTTCAACCCACGAAATAACTGTCAATGCATTGATCGACGTTGTATGGATAAAACGTTGAGTTTGCAAAATCGAAACGCAGCCCGGAAAAGAAATTTATAATTTGCAGGAATCCTGAATTCACTTATGAGGATTGCCGATTACATTTGCACATCTGGGAATAATGACAGCACCAATGTATTAACATGTGATAGCTACAAATTGTGGTCAAAATATTATTCTTTATAAAGCTTTGTCACTATCAAACAATATTTAAAACCATAAATATATATTGATATTCAGTGCGTATCATTCTGTGTATTACTTAGGAACGGCTTTTGGCATACTGCGCAAGATGGTTTACCCCCGCCCCCGCCCCCCCCCATCCACACACACACACACACACCTCACCCGAGAAACTCTTGTGAATCGTCTGTTCAAATTGATGGTACTGATTCCATTTTAGCATAATAATTTTACCAGGAAAGTGTGATCCAAAACAGCTAAATGCGCACCAACTTTACAACAAATGAATTAGCATGTAATACCAATTTAGTCAAAACCGTCTACCTTTTGGAAGAACCAAAAATCTCCCAATATTTTCTTGGTTTGACTGTGTGATACTGGGACATCTCATAGCTCACATTATTCTCAATCACTGCCATACTTAGTTCCATCGGTATCAGTGCAGAGCAAACGGGAATTCACTAAAAATCCCGTGAAGTTGAGAGCCACAGTCAATTCATGCATAACTAACGTTATTTTGTTAAATGTGATTTTGTGCAATCAAATTGAATCGTTACGCCAGTGAACGGCCAGTCCTGGTTAAATTCTTGATTCTCACTGAATATTTGCTAACCCCATGCGACTTTTACTAACCGATTAATGAAAATAATTATTTAACCCCCAATGGGATTACTTTTATTGAACAAAACCACCGGGATTTTAGGCAAGTTAATTCTAGTGTGTATTCCGTAATGCCATTGGTGTAAGCGGAAGAATACTGATAATGGCAAGCTGTTTCCTTGAACGGAGATTGACAACCGCAAAGTAGTTACTCTAGTCGGATAAAGCAAGAATCACAAAAAGGAAGGAGCATTTGTCAGATAATTACTTTTCCGTTCTACCCCCATCTAACTACAAGTCAAGGTGCAGAGTTTCAGAAGAAAATGTAGTTAGAATTGAAAAACAGTTTTGTCAAACGATTCTCTTATTTATACCACACCGGAGAACCGTCAAACTAGCACAAGTTGAGATATCAGTCTTCGAAATACCATACAAAAATAAATTATCTGTGCCGAATGAAAATTTTATCAGAATTTGTATGCCTCGCTAAATTTGATGAGAAAAGAGTATAAAAACAATACAAACGCATCTGCACACAATCAGATCCAGTTATATCTAATCGGTGCGACAAACTGTCAATTATATTTTCCACTCAGGGGACAGAACAATCTTAGTTCGAACTGCACATTGAGGGAGATAAATTGAGAAACAATTACTGACCTATATAGTTCAGTAACTTTTGCGCCCGCCGCTGTGGAGGAGGCAGGTTAAATAATTCTGGGTGCTCGTCAATGAAATACGTATCGGCTGCACCGCTGAGGAATGTTTCGTGTTTTAATACATTCACGAGGAACGGAACGTTGGTCTGAAATTCGAAGAAAATGAGGCATTAGAAATGGGTATTGACATCAAGAATCTCAGTACAGAGCTGTCTTGGTCTGTTGTAACCAACAAAAATATTGATAACACCTACATTTTTGAATGAATCATTTGCACAGGCTGAAATGAGGTAAATTTTCTATATGATAATACTTTTATACAAAGATTTATTGCCGTTGGTAGGGCTCATGTTGCTGTTTCAATCCGTGTATAAGCACCAGGTCGCTGAAATCTAAAACTATCCTTTGCCGAGAGATTGAAAATTCACATAGTAGTACCATATACAACAGTGAAAGCAGGAGTTGATTTTTGCTTAACACGTCAAACATTTCTGTCTAATCAGTGGGCAACAAAGAATAACTTGAAATAGAACTGTGATCGAAAAGTTCGCTTCGAAACCTCAACCAAATTCCAGTTCATATCTGGGAAAGGGATACTGAGAAACGGGGTTCCCTAAAAGTCAAACCAAAGTCTCTTTTTGAATGTGTGCCAGTAATTTACTTTTTAATTTTAACCGAATTAGATGATAGTCTGACAAATAACAGAGAATTAAGTCTTCACTGCTTTCCAATGTTCAGCAGAAGGCTCGGTAAACATGGCATCCCTCGTTTTATAAAAAAGGAATAAACTACTATTTCATCTCCGCAACAGATTATAAATATTCTATATTCTATAGACCTACTGCAACATGACTCCATACTCAAACTGCTCCATACCCCCTAAGTCAGTATTGGGGCTTGTTCCGGTGATTAGCTTCATTTTAACGTTACTCAATGTAGCACTCATCATCGTCTGCCACCGAACGCTGACTAGTGTCACTAAAACAGAAGGTGACGCATTATTTGAGATCTTCCAGATAAGATCAAAACACCCGACCGGTTATAGTGAACCGGAAATTTGAAAGAAGTTCACATGAGTACCAGATACTGTCAGCTTCAATGGCACAAAAATATGTGTCACATCATGTAGGAACTATCGGAAACAGTTTTCAACAGCACCTAACTGAGATACGCTTGGTAAATGATAGAACGCATTACAGATTGCGTATTGACCCCATGAATGAGTCCCCCACACATTTGCACCTCATCAACTAGACTCACATTGCATGCCTTTTGATTGATGATGGTTATATCATACGAGTATTTTTCCGTCTACGTCACCACGAACTTCAGCCATAATTAGTACAGGCAACCTACCATGTTAACCAGTGTAGGATTTTTCCCTGAAGTCAACTACTGTTTACCCAATCACGCGGGACCACACTCACGCATTATCTCATTTGATAAATCTTACGGTGATTTCTTTAGTTACTTGGTATTAACATTGAAACCCATAGTTAGTTTTAGCATTGGCACTGTACAGATGTTATCGATTTTCCACGAATGTCAATCCTACTGCTAATTCAAATGCAATATCCATTTCATCCGGTTGGCCATACATGGGACAAATTAGACTCTCGTTTCTCATCTGCTAGAGCATGCTGCATGCACAATAATCAAAGTCAAAGTTTTATCACGAGCAGTAGTCGCAACGGGTTGATTTTCTTGTCTCCTAGGGTTTTTCGCACAAATGGGTTGACTGATTTACGGTTCATAGAAAGGTAAAGAATGTCACGAAATTTCTTTTGTATCATGCACTACCGTGAATGTCAAAATTTAAGAATTGACAATGTTTCACCCAGTTTGTGCTTGGAAGAATCAATTTCGGTCGCAGAAACAAAGTAAGATATTAGGGAATACCAAATACTGCACAATCTGAGGGCGAGTAACTGATACCGGCATTCTAGTCAACATTTTTGAAACACCAATTTGAATGAATGCCCCCTGAGATTAGTGTTCGACGACAAAGAAAACAGTGAACGACACTGATCAGGGTTCTGCACTATTTGATGAATAAAAACCAAGTCCCCCGAGTTCGGCGATACTGTGGGAAGCATAAACCGAATGATTTCAGTCTTTCCACCTTTTTTGACCATTTTCGTGACCATTCTTTATGAACTTTCCATAATCTTACGATCGTGTTGCGGTAATAGATTCTACATTTTAATGGCGTACTATATTTGAGGTGAAATCTAGGCTGATAACATAAGCAGGGGTTCGAAATTGCCAAACACTCGCTTTATCAAACCAACATGTCCTGCAACGGTGGATGACGACCGGGAGACGTTTAAAGAGCAACTTAGGTCGTCTTGAGCAAACACATCGATATCCTTCGCAGTTGAGACATACGAAAGTAGTTGATATCCCAGGATTAACAGAACTCGAGTTTTATGGAGAAGGGATACTACCATACCATTTGATGCATTTGATTCCATAACATTTTCGATCGACCATTAATGAGCAGCACCAAGCGTTCTCTGGAATTCCAGTGAGTCCTCCGGTTTTGCCACTGATTTTCATACTTTTGCATAGTCTGCAAACATTAACGTTCGTGGCCCTAGAATGCCCGTTAAATCGCCATTGAAAAATAAAAGTGGTTGAGGGCCAAGCGCGGGTCCCTGTGGAACTCCACGATCTTCTATAACCCAAAAACCCAAACTGCCATGGTGCATTGTCAAGGAAATTCTTCCATCCAACTCAGTACAAATCCCTAAAGTCCACAACTGAGCAGTTTCTTCAACAGTGTTTGGTGGTTCACTCAGTCAGATGCTTTGGAGAAGTCCAGATAAACTGTCTGCTGCATCACCGTGATCAGCTGTTTTTGTCCACCATTCTCGACCCGGAAGCAGGTTAGTGATACACGGTCGCCTGCGAGGAAATGAATGTTGTCCCGGGATAAAACGCTTTATTTTTCTAAGTGACTCCTCGTATTGTCTGTAACCATGGATTCTATGATTTTGGTTAATATGGGTGGGGGGAGGTAACGGAGTGATAGTTGGCTGTATCACTACTATAGCCACCTGTGTACATTGGTGAAATTATTCCTTGTTTCTATGTTTGTGGGAGCACAGTTTTGTCAAACATATGTTGGAATAGTTCACCCAATAACTGAGCCATGTTACTTTCTAGGTTGATAAGGGTTAGTGGATGGAACTTGGCGTTGAAACACCAGACTTGACTTTTCTGGAAGCATTTACATATTATTATAACAGTTTGGGATTGGATATAACCTTTGCGCATCTGCATTTCTTAGTTCATCAACTTGTATTCTCATGCCAACTTGGTGCAGTAGTTTCGAAGCAGACAGTAGATATAGCACGTGTTGTTACAAGAAAATCCTTTAAGAGCCTTCCATGAGATATTCCTCTGCGAAATCCACTTATATTTTGACTTCAAATCACTGGTTTTTGACCAGTTGAGTAGGCAATGTGTTCGATCATCCTTTCCGTGAGGTGATTTGTAAATTCCTGCCAGGATACCTAGGGATCGCATTACTCGTTGAAGTAATTCCATTAGAAGTCTCTCGACAAAATTTTAATTTTTATATATTCAAATAAAATACAAAAGTCAGCCGCAGAAGTTTGCAGTGAACCATGCATAGAAAATTTAGTTAAGTATCGTGATTACTATTCCCTAATGGGATTGCAGCAGAAATCGTTTCCATCATCAATTCTTCAGTAGCTAACAGCAAGCCTAAGACTAACAATGACTGGTTGTCTCCAAACTTCATTGACTATTTCACGAAATTGTAAAGTGGTTGTGATTCAATAAACTGATCGAGTTTTCTCTCAAATGGCTATATAGAGGTCATTATCTAGTCGGGTTCAGGCAATTGACGTTGCCCATAATGGGAACATTGGTGAGCTTCAGTGACAGAATACAATACATGGTTGGCTGCAACAGTGTTTCATTAGCGGAGTTCCTGGATAAAAGAGAGCGGTAAACACACCGATCAAACCCGTATCGCTTTGCGACAGTCGCACTTTGCATCATAGTGAGACAGAAGCCACAGCAATTACCTCGCATTGAAAGTTTTTGCTCGATCGCGTCTGAGCACCGCCATATCAGTTAAGCGTAATTCTGAGTCCAGGATGTCGGTTGTCAGCTCCGTTTAGGTAACTGCAACGCAGTTCCACCTCTGAAGTTTTGCTGAAGAAACCTTGATGTAGAAACAATGCAGTTGAATGCGAAGCGGAAACCCATCAAGGGGCTACGTTTTGGTTTTGCTGACGTTATTGTAGTCAACTGAGGGACGTTTCTGGAAGAAGAGATTGTTGCGTCTGGTCTACCACTTACTGCAAGGAACACGAATTCTGTGGGACTCTAGATCTGAACCCGGAATCCTAGCATAAATTAAGTGTATGAAGAACTAATCCAGGATGGTTAGACGAATAAGCTTTAGTGGGAATCTCTAGCGAGAGCAAACCAGTGCGTATACTATTTCACAGTTGGGCAGTTTTTCACTCCATTCAAATCACAAGCAACCAATGAGAGCATAAGAAAATATTCTCTATAAATTCAAGCATTATAATGCAGTATTTTAAGAGTTCAACACGGGGCATAAATTGTTCAGTTATTTAAAAAGCACTGTCAACCGACAAGAAAAATAGTGAAAAGAACCAAAACATGCAACTTACTTTGACACCGTGAACTTGGAATTCGTTTAGGGAGCGTAACATTTTACTTGCAGCGTGTTTGAATGTGTTGGCACTTGAGATCACTTTTNATCACTTTTACCAACAGCGAATCGTAATATGGGGATACAATCGCACCGGCGAAAGACGATGCACCATCAAGTCGGATACCCATGCCCTCGCCACTTCGAAATACCTGATGATTTTGTGAGAAGGGTATGTGAACATGTGCATTCATCAACCTATGACAAGCAAATGTAATACGGTATTATAAATAAGCGTTATAAATCCTGAAAATGTGGGAAAGGCTTATAAAAGGTCTGCGGTGTGTTTTACGATGTGTACGTTTCAGGATACATACTTTATGGTCACGTGTTGATTGTGAAAAGATTACCAGCGATCCACTTGACAATTCAAACAAGACCTAGTGTGTTTATCCCTGTCATATCTCCTCGATTTTTCAGTGATGTACAGTCAACATCCCTCGGATCCCCGCCAGGTAATCGGTAAGGAAAAATGAGACCAGATCCGTTGCGAACGTCGTCACACCCGTAGACGAAGTCATGAATCGACAGTCGTCCTCAAAGGTAGAGATGATTTATACTGAACGTTCGCCTAGGTGCACTTTCAGCTGCGGAGTTGTACACCAATTTTTTTCAAAGAAGATGGGGCGTTATTGAAGAATCTCAAATTTCTCAGGTATTGGATGCCAAGTTATCTCAACTTATAAGTCACCGTTAGTTGTTATTTTACTCTAAAAATAAACCTAAATGTTGATTTCATTTGGCTGGTGACAGCAGCAATGGTCGTGGATGGAATAGTTTCCAGCCAACCTTTGTGAGACAGTAAAACTCGGATGGAGCAAAATGCATGCAAAGATATTTCGAACACCGATCCCTGCAGCAAGATTTAGCCCAGTCGAACACTTTGACCAATCAACGTGATAACAGTGATTTACTCTAGATTGGCAGTTCTATATCTTGTGAAGCCTTCTATTGCACAAGAATTTATGCCTTCAAAACTGTTTAAAAAGGCATTTTCAATGATTACATTGGAAAACAGTGTTGATATGCAGTGACTTTATGGAAAGACAATGCAAAAGTTAAGCGAAGTGCGAGGTTCCCTTAATGGTGGACACTTTAATGAGTTGACCTACTAAAGAACATTGCGAGCATTCTAGAAACAGATCTTGAAACCCAGTTCAACCCGTTGAAGCCCCATGATTTTAGTTTATTCCCTTCAGTAATATAGAATATAGGACTGAAATAGAACATTTTATGCAAACACTGAGAGCAACGCAAACCAATTTAATCCACAACAATAAAAGGCTACACACTAGTCTGACTTTGACACCTGTCCGTCACAGCACATTACTTATTTTTTAAACGGATTGGACTAATTTATCTGTGATGTTAAGTTAGAAATCATTCCTAGGGGAGAATATAAGACAGGGTTGCATTCAGAGACAAATTTTTCATCTCCTCTCTCATATCATCCACTGATATCAACAGCCAAAAAACAATCAGGAAGTTAATATACGGTGTGGTCAGTCGCGTTTTCTCAACCTCTCAAACAGTGAGGTTTTTACGAACCCTTTCGATTGTCACATATTTTCTCTTGTTAATTTTGTGACCATAAGCCTTATTGAAATAACCGTAAAAACACCCCTCCCTTGCTCCAACTTTCCATTCGTTATATTTCATGCCTACGTATACAGAAGTTGGCTATATGCCCACTTCTAGCACATGTGCTCACCAACAGAGAAAGTTATGAATGTGCTCCGTCGTAGTCCTATCCTTGCCTCCGTCCACTCTGTGCCGTACTAGTTGAGCAACGACAGCTATGGAATCATTCAAATTTTATCTAAGCTCAGAATCTTCTCCCAACTGTATAATATAAAGCTCCTCTAAATCTTAGAATACAGCTGTAAAGCATTCGACAGACAACAGGAAAAAACGTTCACAAGTTTCTCTCATCAGTGAGCTGTAAATGTCCGTTTATGAAGATAAACAGTTCCTCATAGCAACAAATCCCTATTGAATAGGGCTACAATAACCGGATGAGCTTCGAACCATGAACTCTCAGGAGTGAACGTTTTCTAGGGATATTCGAGATGGACACAGATTCTGTCCCGGGTTTCTAATAAGGTTTTCTAATGTATGTGATGCAGATATGCAAAATGCGGCAGCAAAAATGACCTGTGGATAAATATCTACAACGTGCACATGTAGAACTATCTCATCACAACACTACATCTGTATATTTCTGATATAAGAGTAGAGAAGAATTTACTCCAGTTGCATGATGAATCAACTCGTGTACAAAGAAAACGAAGGGTGGTTGGTAAGGCAAGGAACTACTGGATGACTGTTTGGACCTGGTTGGGTCTGCTCGGTAGTGTGAATCCATTGACACAACTGAGGATTTAACTCCGGAGCTCGCAGGTAGAATGAAGGCTATATCGGTGGTTAAGTGGGTAGTACGCAAGTGTTCTAGCGCTGAGGTTCCGAGTTTGATTCTCAGTTTGTTAGATAGATTCAAACTGTTTCTAAGACGTAACAATGTAAGAGTAGCTGTAAAATGCTCCATAACATTTAAGTTCATGGCGTTTTTGTTCTGTATATGACAAAAATTACCATACCATCTACTCCAACCCTCTGCTATTCTAATGTCGAATTACAGGTTAATTCGGAGTATATCAAGTTAGCAATCAACTAAGATTCCGAATGTAGGCCAGTTAATGAATACAGGGAACAAGTGCAATGAGAAAACTGTGCGGTAAGTTGTGTTCCCTTGAAATTCAACTTTCGTAAATCTAAGTTTATAGCATTGTTTATGATTGGATGTTTAAGTGAGCGGAACAATTTTAATTTCACATGGTGGTTGTTCCAGAAGACATTACCTTAGTAATTAAAAGTATTTATATTTATTTAACCTGAATATTTGTGCACCTATTAATGTCTAGTTTCATCATAATTAGTATGCGGTTGCAGAGGCCTGGTGAGACTACTTCACATATAAATCATGAAATGTTTTAAATGTCTCGTTTGCTCTTCTTATAACTATCAGTATCTATCTCCAATCCGATAATAGTAATAATAAAGGCTATCGGCGACGGTTCCGGTCCAGAGGGAACCACTTAACACAAATGGAAACAAATGTCAAATACACTTTTGATAACTTTCGGCATCTGATTGATCCCACCCAAAGAACAATGGATAATGAGTTATCTTGGTCATCGATACTTCCTGTTGATATGCGGGGATGAATTAAAACTGATCCGGCCAGTCCATATTTGATTTGTTACGTGTAAACAGATGTAGACAAATCCGCTTCATGTTTCTGAACTTTAGGGTATTCAGACAATATATGATTAATGTATTCCCTTCGAGCACATGATCAGCCGCATTAAAAATTAACTTCGTTGGAATGAATAAAGTGTGACTAGGTGTATGCTTTACCACCAGGATCTGGCACACTTCGTGTATCCAGGGCAAGGCGTATCCTGTATATCTTAAATAGTGATCCAGCCCAGGGTTATCCCTGAGGAAAGGCATAACTAAACAGAACAAAACAGGGCATTTTTCGTGTTCTCAAACTGTGAAACTTTGGACTCAATTCCACGCTGATTCCTTTTGCACTAACATTACAAACATGTCCCTTATTTAGGGTTGATTGGCCTAGAGACGAACAATTATACAGTCCCTTAATATCATTTGCGTTAACAAATTAATTGATCGGTTTCGTGCAGCTTAAAACCCTAAGCGAATATCAAACACAGACTAACAAGTGTGCATCTTTTGAATCAACATCATTACATAAATGCAATTTGTTGGATAGTAGGAAGCATCGTCAAATCCTCAAGAGACCTTGCGTTGATGTTGATAAAATAGCTATACAGGATAGTAATGCCGGATAATTTGTTAACCATCTTATTGTGAAATAGAGGAGGGAGAAGAACGAAAACATGGTAAAACTGGCCAACTGTGGGATACTTGGTGATTTATCTCCACGCCAAAAGTCGGGAACATGAAAACCGAACTTTCATTTTCACATGAAGTATCAATCAACATTGGAATAGTGTGTTTAATTTGTGCCAAGCAATTCAACAAAGTTCATGGGGTCGGAACCGTGAACGCGTGAAACATTGCGATGACCCCTCAAAAATTGACATCCATGATTGATTGCGTCATAAGGTCACTTAAACAAAAAGAAAACACTTTATACTTACATCTATTCGTCCTGAATCGGGCTGGAAATTTTTCGTCGGATCTTCCGTGGTAATACGACATTGGATTGCATAACCGATGGGTTTCAAAGACTCTTGAGTCAATCCCAAATCTTTCAAGGATCGACCTTCAGCAACGCGAATCTGAGACTGAACTAAATCGACACTGAATGAAGAAGAGAGAACATCTTTTTAAATCAGATACCGTTTTTTGTCCTTCACGACATAAATGATGCAATTCATCATATCAGCAGATGCTTAAATGTGTATGTTTCATAACTAGACTGTAAGCTGTTATTAGAGTATCTCACAAGATATATGTGCTGATTTTACTCTTTTGACAATAACTTTACTCTAAAATGGGTGTCCGTGTAAATTCAAACAAAATGAATCTATTCCGATGGGACTGTATTTTTGTTACTGAATTCTTACAAGCCGTGAAGACAATCACCAAAGTTCTTCGAAGAAAACGATAATGACCATATTTTCCAGCTTAATATAATACATGCATCCAAAATATGCGAGAAGACATCTACACCAAACAAGCAGCTTGAAGTGCTTTGCTTACAGATTGTTTTTTAGTGGATCAACAGTCGGTTTTATAGATCCAGTCATATATACATGCGCATGGTCCGATGTTTACTGTCTATGCTATCGCTATACCATTGCATAGGTTTATGTGAGTAAGCTGTGAAACACAAGAATCGTGTAATGAAACTAGTACCTGAATACTAATCATTCAATTGTGAGTTATGGTGGATCAAAACGCACGCATTAGAGTTAGCTTCTATCGATCAAAAGCCACTGACTACTGATC